TCGGTGAGGGCCGAGAGGAGCACGGCCCAGTGTGCGAGGCTCCACACCCCCTGCTGCAGGCCAGGAACAACTGGACACGCGACCCACGCGCCACGCCGCGGCGCTCCCCCCCCCAGACTTTGCCCACGAACGCTCACTGTCCCCAGCACCCTTGCCCCACTGCGGGACGCTGACCCGCGGGTTTACCGTCAGTTCCCAGAGCCACTTTGAACTGTATGCACATTTTATTAAACGCTAATGACAGTGCGGCCTGGGCCTGGCCTGCAGCCTGCCACACCCTCCCCGCTCCCCAGAGTCCTCTGAGCCGCCCTGTGCACTCCCTGCCCCGCTCCCTCCTCCCGTGGGGACCGGGCCGGGCGCCCCCCTCCGAGCCCATGAGTGGGCCCTGTCCTCTGAAATGGCAAACATGTTTACTGGCTAAAAATACCAGCGGCGAGGCCTTGCCAGCCCGGGGGCCGGGTCAGGTCCAGTTACCCACGGGGTCGGCGTGGGGGCGGGGAGGGACGCAGGAGGAGCCCCTGGGGTGGCGTGGGGAGGACGCGCGGTGCGCAGACACGCGTGTGGACGTGCAGCGTGCAGACAGGCTCCGACACGCACACGGGGACAGACGAGCAGACGGGTAGAGACGTGCCGAGACGCGGCCCAGCAGCGCTCTGGGCATCTGTGCGTTCCTTCACACCCGTACACGTTCCCAGCTAGTGACTCAGCCCGGCCACTCACTCTCAGGCACTGTCGGGGACCCAGAGGACTCCCCAAGAAACTGCCTCTCCCCACTTTTTTCTACGCCCTCGTACTTAAGGGGAGAAACAACTGCTGCAATTGCTGGAGCCGGAGCGTCTAAACTTTCAGACTTCGGAACATTTTTTTTTTTAAAGTAAAAACCAAGAGCCAGTTGTTTCTCTTTCTCTTTCTCTTTTTCTTTTCTTTTTTCCTTTTTTTCCGGCTGGCCTTGAACTCACCGTGCAGACTATGGCCTGGAGCTAGCTCTGTCTCAGACCTAGAACGAGGGGCCACACATCTGCAAGCCACACCATCTCTGCCGACACTCTCACAAGTAAAATCAGTGCCTCTCCAGCGCTCTAGGGCTCTTTGTTTTGTTTTGTTTTGAAATGCTGTGGATGCTGAGTGGAAATCCAGGGCCTCCCCAGAGCTAAGCAGTACAAGCCACCACCCACAGCCCCAGCCCTTGGAATTTCAACACCACAGAGTGGAGGCAAAAGACCCCCTCCAGGACCCCACCACTTGGATTGTAACTTTGAAAAGAATCACTTGGTTCTCAAAAGAGCGAGTTTGCCCAGTGCCTGTTAAAAGGTGACCTAGGTTCTCGGAGGCACGGTTGTCCTGTGACGTGGGCCACAGTGAGTCTCCACAAAAATGGCTGCAAGAGGAGGGGCTGGGGCTGGGGCTGGGGCAGGAGAGAAGGGCGAGCAGGTCTTGGCCATGAGTGCCAGCCTAACTCCAGGCCGGGGTCACCACAGGTACTGCTGCAGTGCCGGAGGGCACAGGGGTCACCCGGAAAGACCGAGCTCCTAGGCTGGACCAGACCTGGGTGCCCAGGCAGCCAGGGGAGTTTCCAGGGCCTGGAATGGAGAGTGCAGATGGACACACAATGCAGATATTCCTCGGTCCTTCCTTTCTGCCCAGGGCTGTAGCCGCCACTCCCTCAGTCCCCCAGAACCACCCGATGCTGAGTACAGCAGGTTTTCATGTTGGCTCATTTATCCCTCAATGAGGGGAGGGTCTCAGAGAGGGTGAGTGATTTGCTGGAGTCACACAGCGGGCAAAGCCAAGGATCAAGTGTTCCTACTACAACAGGGAGAGTGTGTGTGTGTGTGCACAAGCACTCTGTGCCTGGTGGACCAACAGCAGTCAGGTTTTACCTCATTCATCAAGTGATTTTTAATTTTGTGATACTGGTGACCAAACCCTCACACTTGCATGGTACATGTGTTCTACCACTGCTGCCCTTCCAGCCCCAAGGAGCAGGGTTTTGTTTTTATTTTATAGTACTGTGGGTTGAACTCAGGCCATTTGCACTGAGTTGCATCCCCAGCCCTTTGCATATTCTTTATTTTTAGACGGAGTCTAACTAAGTCACTAAGTAGCCCGGGCTGGGCTGAAACTTGTGATCCTCCTGCCTCAGCCTCCTAGGGTGCTGCGATTACAGGTGTGTGTCAGCACGCCCAGCTAGGAACAAGTTTTAAGTGAATGAATGAGCTCTAGGTGGAACTGGCCCCAGGGACCTAGCTCTTTCCAAGGAGCTCTGCTTCCCATTGTTACAGCGTCCAGCTACCTGCCCCAGGGAACAAACCCCATACTTGTAGGCCACTGCCCACACGCACATACACACATACAGACATGTGCACACACAGCCTCACAACATACATGCAGATGCATGCACACACAGACATGCACACTCTTTAAAAGACCCCTGTGTCCTAACACAGTGAAGAAAACCTGTGTCTGCCGTCACGACGTTCTGGGACTCTAAACACAGGGATGTCTCTGGCATCCCTGCCCACATCCGGGAGGCCCCTACCCTCAGGCTGGCCCTCTGTACCCCTCCAGATGTCCTGACAAAGTCCTGTGAATGCTACGTGTCGTCAACATGGGGATAGCCCCAGCTTCCCCAGGAGTGACACTCCCTCTGGGGTTCCCTGAAACACGCGGGGTGTGTGTGTGTGTGTGTGTGTTTGTGTGTGTGTGAGATGAACCTGGAGCTCCTCTGTTGCTAGGCGACAGGCCTCTGTTTGGTTCCTATTATGCCTGTTTCCATGGTACCCACAAGGGGAGCTCCAGTGCACCCCGGCCAGGGGATTCCCCTTCCCTCCCCTGCGGCCAGGGTCCCCCTCCTCTGAAATCTGCCCGTAGCTGGGAGGAGGGAGCTAAGTGGGTGATCTCTGTTTGAAGCATGGCCCTGACAGGAAGCAGAGTGAGCAGCCTGCTTGTGGGCCCCAGAAGCAGCCCTTCTCAAGAGTAGCCTTCTGTGTGGCCTCCTCGGTAGTTCAGAAAGGACTCTCCTCAGCTCCACTGGGAACTCTGGGGACCGATCTCCACCCTTTGCCAGCCCTGGGGTGACAGCCCTCCCAAGCAGGCCTCTCCCAGTCCTTCCTGTTCCCTGGCCAGACAGCAGACTCCTGGGCGACCGAAAGCAGTTCTCTAACTCTACAATCTCCACCGTAACCAAACACGGGGAGCCAAATAAAATCATCCTTCCCCAGCTCTGAGCCACCCGGCCCAGATTAGACCTCCAACTTCCAAAGGGTTCCTGCGTGACCAGGTGGGAACCTGTCCCATGACACACAGTTTGTTCGATCTCCAGGCTCAGCCCGGTTAAAGCTGGTGGAGACCCGCAGCCTGGTGCAGCAGGAAGGCTAAAAAGGTGGTCCAGGCAGAGAGCAGGAAGGAAGCGTGCAAAGGAGAGCAGGTAGCCCAGCTGGGGCATGGGTGCCGTGGGGTGGAGAGGAGCAACTCCACCCCAGATTGGAGGAAAGAAGGGGCAGGGGGACGGCAGGGCTGGGAGGGAGACGGAAGCACACAGGCGGCCGGGCTTGGGCGGGCCAAGCTGGAACCCTAGCCGAGCAGATGATGGACTGAGCCAATGGACTGAGCAGCCCCACCCAGCCGGCTCCCCAGCGGGACAGAGGCCTCCGCACCCCTCGGTGGAATCTGCCTTCTTGAGGTCCCTCTGCTTCCTCTGCCCAGCCCGCTCCTAGGCCCAGCTGAGGAGAACGGGCTGGGCGGAAGGAAGGGTCGGGCCGGGGCTGCTCTGCCTGAGTCACCGCATAGCTGAGGTTCCAGTCACTGCAGCCCCGCCTCGGCAGCATCCCGACTGGCATTGCTGCAGCCCACCCTGCCCCAAGCCTGCTCCTCAGGCCGGCTCCAGGTTGGGAGCCTCTGGGTGCCCTCCACACACCCCAACTCCCGGGCTCCGCTGGTCTAGGGGCAAAGGTGACTTCGTGGGGCCACATGCCGGGGCAGGATGCACCCACGGTCCCATCCCCTTGACTGCACTCACAGGTGAAACACGGGCCTGTGGGAGCCTCATGCTAGGTACATTCTGTGAGGCTGAGTCAGGCCCAGGAGAGTGGGACAAAGGGGGTGTGTCAGCTAATCCCGGTCCCAAGAGTGGCAGTGAGGCAAACGCCCTGGGCACGTCAGTGACTCAGTCCCACCCAGCAGTCTGGGGAAGCGGCACCTTGGAGTGGTGATCCCCAGGGTCCACTAGCTGACCGTCCCCAACACCACTGGCCAAGTTCCCAGTCCCAAGCAGGCCATTCCCATGATGCAGCCCCGAGTTCATGTTTTCCCTCCCTGGCCTGCTCAGCTGCCCCACTCCCCTACCAGCCTTCCCAAGTCCAGTGCCCTCGGCCCCAGCCCTGGCCCATCTGCTGCCTGCAGAGCCGGCCAGGCTGCAAAGGGCTGAGGCAGCAGAGGCCTCCCCAGGGTGACAGCCGCGCCGGGAGGGCCCCTGGGAGGGAAACACTTTTCACCAACATCACAGCAGACAAAGCCAAACCTGACAGCAGCCAGCTCCTCTACCCCGCCCAAGCCATTGTATAAAAAAGGGAAAGTCAACAGGTCCTGGCCCCGCCCCCGGGATCCTGAGGAAACCAGGAAAACAAAGAGGGCTGTGGGGTGGGGAGGGCCAAGGCCATGGGGTGCTGGCCGAGGGGCTGCACCTGCCCAGGCCCGTGCCCTCCCCAGAGGGAGTCCAGAGGAGCCCTCGCCACTCCCCAGCCAGTGTCCACTCCCGCAGGTCCTGGGTGCTGGGGCACTGGGACAGCCCAGGAATCCCGCTGGGTAAGCTGACGGCCACCGGGAGAGGTGCCAGACGGATCAGGGCCGAGTGATAGGAGCAGGTGCCCTCTTCTTTCACCTTTCAGGAGCCTCAGAGGAACAGGGTGGGGCCCAGAGCATATCCCCAGGGGGGCTGAGGCCAGTCAGGCACCATGGCCCCCGCCCCACCCAGGAGCCCACCTTCGCCAATGAGGAGGCCTGAAGGGCTCGGCTCTGGGAACAGGCTGAGATTGCCTTGCAAACCCAGGCCCAGTTTAGGAGTGTCTGGGTGGGGCCTCCTTCCCTAAGGGGAAGTGGCACATTTGCAGGGAGCGATCGGCAGCTGGTGGGCCGGTCTCACGCAGGGACAGAAGCAGCTGCCTGGCTCTGACTCAGGGCGAAAAGATAACCTAGGTCTTTCTTGGAAGAACTTTAAAGGCTTTTAACGTTTTAAATAAGTGACTTAAGCAGATTACCAAAGAAGCTGAGATAAGTAGCTGCTTGCAGTCAGCATCCGCTGGTCCACAGCTGACCCGGGCCTGGCCTGGCGCACACGCCGGGTTCGGCAAGGATCCCGTCTGCAGCTGCAGCTCAGCCCCAGCCTCCCATCGGGAGGCCCTGATGCCGCCCCGCAAGCGCATAAAACACCCCTCCTTCCCGCCTCCTGCAGGTTTTACAAGATCATCGCCGTTCTCAGCCCCTGGCCCGTCCCCACTGCCCTCCTCTTCCGCCCCAGCCTTGGGCCCGTCAGCCCGCCCTGCAGTGGGCGCAGGAAGTGTCGGAAGGCACGAGCTCCCCTGGCCTGCAAGGAAAACTGCCCAGCAACTGGAGACGTCCGCAGGCGCAGGTTCCGATTGGCTGTCCAGACCGGGAAGGGCGGGGCTCCACGTGGTTAGGACCTGGAGAGAGGCGGCCAGGCTGGTGACTCAGGTTTGGGGCACACGGGGCGGGACCAAGTCCACATGTGCTTCTCCTCGCGCCCCATCTGCCGCTGCACTCAACTCAGCTTGAAGAGGCGAGGGCTCCAGCCCAGCCCCTCAGCCCGGCGTGTTGCCCCCCGGCCTCCTGGCCGCCCAGGGCCGAGGCAGCAGGAACTGCGCACGCCTTCCTGCTCCGCCAGTCCCCAAAATAAATCTTGCACAACGCGGCTCCGCGCCCAAAGCTGCAGATCCCGGGAAGAGGGCTAAGAAGGGGTGTGGTGGGAAACGGAATCCAGGCGGCCAACACAACAGGTTCGGCGAGGCCGGCAAGAAGCTGGGCTCTGGGCTGGGGCAAGATCCTGCTGGACGCCGCGGCCCAAGGGGAACAATAACCACCCCATCTTCAGTGGACTGCAGGCCACAGCTGCTTGCTGTCCACACCACCCCGCCCCTGGAGGGCGCCTGTCCAGCGGCGGCTTCTGTGCCTGGTGAACCGAAGGTGGAAGGCGGCCCTGTTTCTGCATCTGCCTTAAACGTCAATCAGACTTGTTTTGCAGCAAGAGGACGTAATCCAGGGCACTCCTATCATTAAGCTACATCCCTGACCCTTTTTGAGACAAGGCTTTGTTAAACTGCCAGGCTGTCTCCTGTCTCAGCCTTCAGGGTGGCTGTGATTACAAATCTTTTTAGGATTTGTATCCTAAAAAGGACACAACCGAAGGGGAAAGACAGCCATCCTGTTCTGGGCAGGGAGTCGGGTGAGTTATGTGCACTTGACATCCTGGCAGGTGTGGGTGGATGGGCACCTGAGGTGACACCTTGGGCCCGCAGTCTTGAGCACCAGTTTCTCCCCTGATGGATGCAGGGACCCACCCCAGGGCTGAGCCACAGCAGGCGAGGGCAGCAGGCTGGGGTCTGAAACCCTCCCTGCCCTGGTCCGTAAACACATCTGCCAGCTCAACCAACCAGAAGGAAAGCATCCGGGGCTGGACACGCAGCTGGGTCTGAGCCCACTGGAGCACCAAGGCCCTGGGCAACACAGGAGACTCCCGGGCCTAACTCCTCACACAGCAGGTACCGGAGACCGCGTGCTGTCAGTAGCTTAAGACCGTGAAGTGCCCAGGCTCTGTGCAAGCTGACCACTCGAGCAGAGACTTGGGCTCTCCTGGGACCAGCACCTGACCCTCGACACAGCCACACCATCAGAGGCTCCTGTGTGCACCACAGGCTGCCGCAGCCTGTCAGCTCTGGGTCACAGGCACTGGACCCTCTCCCTGGGGAGACCCGAAATCCCACCTCACACTTCTGCTGTCACAAGGTGCCTTCCGCCCACTCCTCCAGCCCCTCCCGAGCTCCCCCCAACGGCAGACAGCCAAGGGTCAATGTTCCGTTTCCTTTAATGATCCCCACCTCCCCAAGGGCCAGGTGTGGGTGGCTGGGAGACGGAAGTGGCGGTCACTTGAAGATCTTGCCCTGGTTGAAGGGTCTGCCCACATGCTGGAAGGCCCCCTCCCAGGAAAAGTACTCGCGCACCAGCGTCTGCGTCTCCTCGCTGCCGGGGTCCAGCTTCCTCCATGTGTACGACTCGTAGTCCACCTGCCAGTCTAGACTCAGCTGGGGGAAGGCGGCAAAGGGGGTCAGAGTCAGACACCACCCCACCCACCCGCGCCCCCACCGGGACCCCTCCTCACCGGAAAGGCCAGCTCCTGGCCCCGGAAGACCCAGACTCCCGAGATGGAGCTGCTGTTGTTGGTGCCGAAGAGGATGACACTGGCAAAGGCATTCTTCCGCAGCCTGTCGAGCCGCTGGAACATTCCTGAGGGCAAGGGACACCGCTCGGAACCCGGCCCTGCTGTGCCCTCCTCCCCTCGCCGGCAGCCCCTGCCTTCTCACCAGTGATGAGGTTGCAGCTCATGAAGGTCTGGGTGAGCTCTTCCGGGAAGCGGTACTCAGCAAACCACAGGGACCAGCCGTCCTTGTCGAAGTGCTCCCAGAAGTACGGCAGTGCCACAGACAGGGTGTCCTCGTTGGAGTACTTGCGCTTAAACTCATCCAACACAAAGGTGCTTAGAGGAAGAGGACAAGTCATGAGGGGCGTAGGGACAGCAGCTGCCAGCCAAGAACCCACGTTTTCCTGTAAAGCTCGTGGTTCCTAGCAGTGCACCTTAGGAAGCAGGGAGCAGGCTGAGGACGCCACAGGGGCCTACTTGCTCCTCTGCCCCTCTGCCGAGTACACCAGGCACGGGGAGGGTGGCACTGATCGCCCGGGCCCAGGCCTGCATGCCAGGGACGGCATGGCCCACTGCTGCCCCCCGGTGGAGACCTAGAGCCAGGACCCTGGACTCCTCTAGGCCACTGCCCTCCCAGTTCAGTTGCTGACTCCCCGAAGGCAGGAAGGGGGCCTCCACCCCCACCCCACACCCTGTCCAGAAGCTAGTCTGGGCACTGGAAAGCTATGGGCCCTAACCCCACACGCTCCTGTGGCTCCTCCTTTTGCATTATACGAACACAAGCCGCCTACAGAACACCATGTACGCCAGTGAGCAAGAACACCAGTGTTCTTTTTTTTTGGCCCCAGGGATCGAACTCAGGTCCTTGAGCTTGGGCAGCAGGCGGCAAAACCACTGAGCTACATCCCCGGCAACCCTAGCATTCTTTTTGCAGTATTGGAGTTCGAACCTAGGACCTTCACACACAGCTATGTCCCCAAAACATCTACTTTTTCTGGTACCAGGGATCGAACTTAGGACCTTGGGCTCGCCAGGTGGCACTGAGTTAAATCCCCAGCCCTACTTATATTTTTTGAGAGTTTTCTTGCCTCAGCCTCCCAGAGCGATGGAATTACAGCCATGTGCTACTTACACCTAGCTACTAATTCACATTTTTATGTCTTCTTTGGCTTTCGATTTTCTGAAGATGCAGCTTAACTGTGCAATTCTCCCACTCACACCCTGCCCCCCCCCCCCCCCCCGCCTGGAACTGCTGTGCCTGCTGTCCACACCCAAGGCCTGCACACCTCCATCTCTCCAGTCACCAGACACAGAGACACGGTTCGTGCACAGTCTTAAAGGCACTCGAGAACCACAGCCAGACTGTAAACCACAGCCTGGGACAGCATCTCTTCCGTGATACCAACAGTCTCCGGGAACCAATGGGTAAAGACACGATGCCCACACACAGTGAAGCACTACTCTTCCATAAAAAGGGTGAATTCAAGACACTTGTCGAAAAACAGATGCACCTTAAAAACAATGTTAAATGAACTGAATCGAACACACAGCTTCAATACCGCATGTTTTCTCCATGAGAAATCCAAAGTGCAAAGAAAGTAAGAACAAAATAAAAGAGCAAAAAAAGGGAAATAGATCTTTGCAAATGTTAAGAGGACATGAAGTGGCAGTTGGGAAAGGAAATAAAAAGACTCAAGGTGGGTCGTGTAGGTGCACCAGCTATGCACAATGCATGTAATCACTGCACACCACAGATGTGAACTAGAATAATAACGAAAATGGGGAAGGGGACTGAGACGGAGGGAGAAGGGTGGGAAGGGAGTAAAAATAATCAAAGCACGTGAAGCACAGGAATCTACTCTCTAGTAGCCCGTGGATGTCACATGCCGTGCACATCAGTGGTGCACACCTGTAACCACAGGATTTGGGGAGGCTGAGGTAGGAGGGATGCAGGTTTGAGCCCAGTGTGGGCAACTTAGTAACTGAGCAAGACGCTGCCTCAAAATGAAAAGGGCACAGGACGTAGCTCGGGGTGAAGGCCTTGGCTTCCATCTCCAGTGCCACAGAAATTAATCCCTAACTTTTTTAATAACCAGGGGAAAATAAGTCTGGAGAAAAGCACTTTTGGCAACCCAGAAGGGCACCATGGCAACGCAACCAACAGGCATTAATAAACATCCCCAAGGCAGGTAACAAACACAGTTTAGTAGCTGCAGGTCCTTGGAAGGCTGAGACAGGAATCCTGCTTGACCCAAAAGTATGAGGGCAGCTTGGAAAACAAAGTGAGACCTTGCCTCTGAAAGAGAAAGGAGGGGCCGGCCATTTAGCTCAGTGGTTCCACTGCCTGCCTCACAAGTGCAAGGTCCCAAGTTCGATCCCCAGTACCCAAAAACAAAAACAAAAGAGAATGGGACATTTATCCAAGATTTTAAAGTCGTTGCCCAATTTTTCCACCCAGAATGCAGACCTATGGCACAGCCTACGGATGTCTCCAGCCCAGCACACCATCCATGCTACCTTGGCTCTGGTGCAGCTCTCACTGCCCGCCCAGGATGGTCCCACAGGGTCCAGGAAGAGCCCTGCAGGGATGAGTGAAGGCCCCAGGCTCCAACCCCAGCACTAGGAATGTAGCCGTCACCCAAGCGCCATGCCCCAGGGCAACCCATCAAGGGCTGGCTCAGCAGCCTGGCCCTGGCTGATTCCCAATGCCAGGGTGGAAACCATCACAGAACAGGACAGGTGGAGCCCAAGCTCGATAGACCCACAGTGAGTGGACTCGGGCTTGGAACAGCAGGGCAGGGGCGTGGACACAGCTGTGAGCAGACATGGCTCGGACAGCACTCAGCATGCTGGTTTCAACTCCCAGTAAATGACCTGGGGTCAAGAACTGTGCCAGAGCCAGGCAAGAACCGGTGCCCACTTTATCTGACACACCAAATCTCTCCTCAGCTGGCACAGCAGTGCACACCTATAGCCTCTGAAGCTCTGGGGAGGATGAGGCAGGGGACCAGCTTGGGCAACACAGCAAGACCCCAGAACAGGGGACACAGATGACACCCCACCTACCTCCTCCTCTCTGGGGGCTCAAAGACCGGATTTTGTTAACGGACAAGGCAGATACCAAGTGGCCTTTCTCTTAGTAACCTGCCTGGTCTATCCAGGAAGAGCACTTCCTCCTCATGCCTCACTGCTGAGGCCTTCAGGTCTTCATGAAGGCCACAGCTCAAGCTCAAGCTCCTGCGCTCCTGCACCAATGTCCCCAAAGACTAGATGGATCTGGAGCTGGCTTCCTACTTTCCACTTTTCAATTTCCTAGAACCTAAACACCCAAAACAAGAGCACGCCCGGCCGCCTCACCTCTTAGGCAAGTGTGCAAAGGGGTCCTTGGCCTTGGGCTCAGCAGCCAGGGCCTCCTCACACTCGTCCAGCTCCTCCTCATGGGCTGGGGCAGCCGCCTTCTTCTCCTCTTTCCGTTCAGCCTGGGGCTTTTGCTTTTCTTCCCGTGAGCCTTTCTCTTTCCGTGGGGTATCTTTCTTGGGCTGGCTCTCTGCAAACTTCTTAGCTGGTGGATGGGAGGGCAGCAGCATGAATATCCAGGGAGTGAGAGGCGGTGTGACAGTGGCCCAATGAGCACCTGGACCCGAGTCCCGTCCCAGAAATCCGAGCCCCCCCACGCCAGAGCAGCTAGGATTCCTTATTTTAATGCAAATCAGCCTGTGCTTGGACAAAAAGATTTAACATAGTACCACGGGCAGCCCTGGATTCTGACAGGACATCCATCAAGGGGCTGACACAAGTGGACGCTGGCCCTGCCTGGAGCTCCTCCTCAACTCACCGTCGAACTGGGCCATCTTCTCACAGAGCTTCACCTCCCCCAGGACTGCGAGGAACTGGGGCTGGTTAATGCAGGTGAGGAACCAGCGGTTGGTATTGGGAAAGGCCTGGCGGAAAGAAGGCTCCAAGACCTGCAGGAATAAGGGCGGGAAGAGTCAAGGGAGGGAGAGGCCCTGAACAGGCTCAAGCCGGAGCTCAGGAACCCAGCCCCTCTTCCACCTGAGCTGTCCTCAGCCTCCTCTCAAGCCCGACAGAAGCCTCTCCCTGCGTCACCTTCCCCTGCAGTGCTAACCACTTCCTGTTTCTTGTACGAATCTTGCCCTGAAGACCAGTCCACTTAAGGGATGCTCTATTTACTACACAGCACAGGCAGCTGGGTGGGGGCACACACCTGTAACCCCAGCTCTCGGGAAGACCATCAGCTCAGTTCAGTCTGGGAAAATCAGCACAGCAAAACCCTGTCTCAAAGTAAAAGCAGGGAGCCGGGGGTTTAGCTCAATAGTTCCGCTGCCTGCCTGGCAAGCACAAGGTCCAGAGTTTGATCCCTGGTACCAAAAAAACCCCAAAAGCCAAAAACCAAAAAAAAAAAAAGTAAAAGCAGGTCGCAAATGTAGCTCAGCATAGAGGCCCTAAGCTCAATCCCTGGTACCACCAAAAAGAGTTGGGACTAAAACAGGCATGGCAACACAGCCTGCAACCCCAGAACTTGGGAGGCAGACAAAAGAGGATCCCAGGTTTAAGGCCAATCTGGATTACATAGCAAGACCCTGCTTCAAAACAAAAAACAAGGGCTGGGGATTTTGCTCAGTGGCACTGTGCCTGCCTTGCAAACGCAAGGTCCTGAGTTCAATCCCCCGCACCACACACACACAAAAAAAGCAAATCTCAGTGTATTTGGGCCGGGTATGTAGCTCAGCAGCACAGTGCCTGCCTACCAAGTACAAGGTCCTCAGTTTGATCCCTAAAAACAAACAAAAAGTAGCTATAAAAACACAGCACTTATTTTAGGGCTGCGGATGTAACAGCAGCTGTGTTTGCCTAGCATACATAAGGCCCCAAAGTTTGATACCTAGCACTATGAGCCAAAAAAGAGTGTATCGGGCCAGGGATTCAGCTCAGTGGTTCTGCTGCCTGCCTTGAAAGTGCAAGGTCCCGAGTTTGAAAAAAGAATACTTATTATGTCAAAGAAGAGAGAAAAGAAAGAAAAACACCATGACATCTATCAATCTATTTTCGATACTGACTACACCATACACACCCTATCATTGAGCCCCACGGAGCCAAGCTGGGTAACACCTGAATCCCACACTCAAGAGGCTGAGGCAGGAGGATCACAAATTCAAGGCCAGCCTGGACTCCATAGCAAGACCCAGTCTCAAAAAACAACACCCACACAGACACACAGCAAAATCCAGGCTGAGGATATAGCTCAGTGTCACTTGCCTAGCATGCAGAAAGAAGGCCCTGGGTTCACTCTCCAGCACTACTAAAAAACAAAACAAAAACAAAACAGAGAAGAAAGAACAGGCGGGCCTGGGGGTGCACACCTGTAATCCTAGCACTTGGGAGGCTGAGGCAGGAGGATCCCCTTGAGTTCCAGGCCAGGCTGAACTAAATAGTGAGATTTGTCTCAAAAAACAAAACAAAACAAATAACCAATTTAGAGTTATCAGCTTGTCCCTTAGATTAATCTTAGCTTGAGGAAGAGCTCATTGCTCTCGTGTAGGCTGAACAGTCAGGAGAACCAGTTCTGTAGAGCCTGGGCATATATACATACACATATATATACACATGAAGACTTTCGACTGGTGGAGATGGAGTCCAGGACCTTTCCACTAAGCTACACCCCCCAGCCCTTTTCATTTTGAGACAGGATCTTGCAAAGTTGCCCAGGCTGGGCCTGAACTTGAGATCCTCCGGCCTCAGCCTCCCAGAATGCTGAGACTGTGGATGTGCTCCACCATGCCCAGCTGGTTCTGACACACTTGTGTTCAACTCGGGCGCTGAATGGCTACGTGCTATGGGTGGGTACAATTCTCCCTGCCGCACAGCCGGTGTCTCAGCGTTCAGAGGACACTGCACAGTGGTCCTTGGCCTGGGGCCTGGCACACGGTAGGTGCTTTTACTGCAACACCATATCACTCCTGCAGACCAGAACAGGTCCAGACCTGTCCACACAGCATTCTTTTCTGACCCGTGCCCTACACTGTGAGAATTATTACCCTGATCCTACACACCAGAGGAAAAAAGGGACCACAATCCTTCTACCCCATCAGCAAACAACTCGCACAAGACCCTCGCCAGAGCTGCCCCCAGAACCCTGCTGCAGCCCCGCCCTTCCCACCCCCAGCGCAGCCAAACAGAACCAGACAGAAGAGTTCTGGGCTGGTCCTGGTGCCGTGGCTGGAAACCACTACCTGAGCTGGGTCACCTGGGGGTCCCCACCCTGCCTTCTGCTGACAGAGCCTGGGGACGCACCTGTTTGTAGAGCCACAGCAAGGTGCAGACGACAGTGATGTCGGCGAGCGTCACTCTCTCGCCCACCAGAAAGGTCCTAGTTTTCAAGTGGGCATCCAGCAGCCCCAGCACACGCTTCACCTCCTCCTTTGCATTTTCGGTGGCCTGTTAATTCAAATCCCCCAACTCAACAGCTGGTACCAAGCCCTCTGTCCATGCCCTCTGCTAATGGGGCTGAGAAGCCAGTTTTCCAGTCCTGGGCACCCTGGCCCTCTCCCCTCTCAGCGGGACCATGGTTTGGCACCATGCAAAGGCACCACACAAGAAGCTCTGCACGCTAAAACTCCTCCCAGCGAGTCCAGCTTTTCATCCCACTGTACAGACGGTGTCACCTATCGGGAGGAACCTTGGAGATCCCCTACATAGACACTCACTCCTCTCTGCTTGGCCCAACTTCCCCACAGCAAAAATCTCACCTGATCCCCCAGCCAGGGTCCCAGTCTCCTGGGCTGCCAAGAACCCGTCCCTCTACATTATGTCCCCCGCAGGGCACACCACCTCGAGGCCTGCACACTTGCCAACAGCAGGCCAACATTGCCCTGCTTCTCCCCAGCTCACCTGCTTGCTGTGGTGCATGATACCCAAGGTGGGGAACACCCAAGTGCTGGCGGGAGGCACGATGTCACTGTCAGCAAAGCTCACCCACTGCACCACCTGGGCGGCCACCTCTGGAGTTCTTCCCCGGAGTTCCTCGTTGCTCACTGCGGAGGCCAGGCACAAAGGTCAGGACTTTGGGGTCCTGCCAACACCAGCCTGGTCCAACACTTCCCCTGTCCACCACAGCACCCTCATACTCTCCTACACCCACTGCCAGCCCCTCCAGTTCCCCCAATTTACCATAGTAAGCGATGGCGTTGCTCTCAAATACACAGAACCCATCATCACCCTCAAACGCTGGAACCTGGGTGGAAGATAGTTAGATACACAGGGATTTCTCACTGGCCAACTCCAAGAGCCCGAATGTTTTAGGTACAAGTAATTATGTTAAGATTGGCAGCCCTTGGTATCCAAGCTCGTGACACTGCCCGAAAGTCAGGAACCAAAAATACTTGAATAATACTAACCACTGCAATATGGGGTTTTTTTGTTTTTTTGGTACCGGGGATCAAACTCGGAACCTTGTGCTTGCGAGGCAGGTGGCAGAACCACTGAGCTAAATCCCCAGCCCTAACCCTTGCAGTATGAATCCATAAGATCTGAATAAAGTCCCCTCAATCAAACAACCAGAAGGCCAGGATCCAAGTCTCACATCCACATGTGCATCACTGCAAGTGACAAGGAGGTGACCTACAGGCAGTCGACTTCCTCTCATTTACCTAGCTCCATAAGCCCGTAGGGTAAGAATCCCACCTGCAACATACATTTGGTATATGTGCACTAATGACACCCACAAATACAAAACAGACCTCTGAATTTTAGTCACCGAATAGTTCAGTACTATTCCACACAACTACACGTGGATCTACAATGATCTCAGACACAGATGCTCTCAGAATTTCTTTTGAAGTCTCTAAAGCGTGAAGTAACATAGGAAGATCCCTTCATTTTAAAGACTGAGGCCATGTATCGCCAGGCTGACAGAACCCTAGCGGTCCTTGAGTTCTCAGGACTAAAAGCCCCATCCAGTTCCCCACTCACCTTGCCGGCGGGAAATTTTCGGAGAAATTCAGGGGTGCGGTTGGTTTGGCCAAAGTGGAAGTGGGGTGGTGCGGAGAGCACGCGAATCTGAGCCCCGCTGTACTGAGCAGCGATGAGGGCCTTGAAGGCCCTCCAGTTTTCAGGGTATGTGTACAGGGTCTGCGCGAGAAGAGGGGAGTCAAGTGAGCACAGGGCCAATTCTGAACGCCCCCAGGATGACTTCCCGAAGAACCTCATCTGCTCCACGGCGTCTCCTCCCTCTGGACAACCAGGCCCTTCGGTGTTTGCCCAGTGTAACCAGAGTCCCCTACATCACCGAGCTGAGCTGCTAAATAAAGCTCGCTGCCATCCGACCTTCCCTGAGGACACCTCTGGCCCTGAAGTGCATCTCCAGACATCGTAACTTCTGACTGCACCGGACTCCCCCGCCTCCTCAGAACCTCATTTCATTCATTTCCCAGAGCCCGCGTCTTCCTCATCCGGCCGCCCCACTGCGGTTTACTGTTTACGGATGCCGGGACCCGGAGGCGCTCTCCCGCCCAGCCCCCCGGTGGGCGCCCTGCCGGTGCTGTCTCCTCCACACCTGGCCAGCGGGGCCCGCAGCCGACGGCCCGACCTCCCGGGGCCACCCTACAAAGACTCCTCGTCGTGTCCCCACCAGTGGGTCGCAGGAATTCCGTCCGCCTAGCCAGCGCCCTCTTTTCTCGCGACGAGGACCCGGATCGCTTCTGCAGGGCCGGGGCCGCGGACCCGGCCTCCACCCCGCCCAGAGCCCACCCTGGTCAGTCTCCGTCCCGCCGGCCTGAGCTCCCTGTTCTCCGACACGGCGGAATGCAGACCCAGGCCGGCCGCCCATTTGGCTGCAGAGCGCCTCCGGTGCCGCCTGGCCCCTCTCGGTAACAGGATGGCGACGGATAGGGCGACCCGGATCATCGGAGCCGGCTAACTCACCCCGGCCGCCATGGTGATTCCGCAGAGAAAGGGGGTGGGGCTCCGCCGCTGCCGCAAAGTAAGACGGTGGGGGGTAGGGGAGAGCCGTGAGGAAGCAGCAGCCGGAAAGTGAGGACGGCACAGAAGGCCCACGCACGACAGTTTCGAGTTCAGTCGCGCTCAGAAAAAGGGGTGGGGCCTGCCGGCCTGCGTACTGGAACTCTTCATTGGCCGCCCCTAGGTGCAGCCGGCCAATTGGAGCCCCGACAGGAGGTGGGCGGTGCAGGGGCGGAGGAAAGCGTGAGAACCGGCCGGAAAAGCTGCCCCCTAGCGACTTGGGTATCAAGGGACGTAGCGGACTCCAGTGGGGCGGAGAAAGGGGAGCGGATCTAGGAGAAGGGGACCCCCGCAGGGTTGGGGGACGGGGAGGTGGGTCCCCACGGGCGGGGCCCGTTGAGGGAGGCGGGTTCCCAGCAGATGCACCCGCGCACCGGTGGCCTTTGTTCCGTTCCCGCAGGGATGTCACGTCTAACAGGCCTCGTCCGGACCCCACAGGGCTGTAGCGACCACGCTCACGTCTGAAAACCTCCCACGCGCAAACACATCCTTTGCGCCACATGCCGCCCCAAGCTCCTGCTTCGCCACAAGTGCCGGACAGAGGACACGGGACACACGTGTGGTCCAGCAGCTCATTGCTTTATTGCCTGGCGCAGCGCCTGGGGCACGAAGCCTTGCAGGAAGTGGTGCAGCTCAGGGAACAGACCCTGCGCGTCCCGCAGCGGGGTAACTGAGAGCATCCCCTCGGCTTCGGACGCGCTCGCGCTCGCCATGAAGGCCACAAGGGGCTCGGCTCCTGCTCCCCGCTCCCCGCCGCTGGGTCTGGCCAGCTCCTGGGTCACCTGGGCCTCAGTCGCCAGCCACCCGGCCCCTGCGTCACCCCTCTGGCCCTCCCGCTGCTGCTGCTGCTGCAGGCGCCGCCGGGCTCGCCGCCGCCCCTGCCACGTGCGGTGCCACAGGGCGCAGCGCCAGCTGGCACAGCTGGGGCGTGGCTGGGCCTGCGCTGGGTGGTCCGGTCCTTCGCGGTGGCCAGCCACCCCTGGCGGGTCTCCCGCCTGCCCTGGGCTCCACATAGCCGAGTCCGGCACCGTCTCGCCAACCTCCACGACCATCTCCTCCACTACTTCCCCGTGGAGGTCCCCCGCGTGTCCCCAAGGCTCCTCGGCCCTGTCCTCGCCGCCCTCTCCGTGCCCATCTAGCTTCAGTCTCTTCCCAGCTCCTCCCTGAGCAGCCTCCTCCATCCCCGCTTTGGGCCTCGGCCTCTTTGTCCCCTGTTCAACCTGGCACCCCAGAGCGTCCCGCAGCACCCGGACCAGGGCAGTGCAGAGCTGGGGGAAGGGCACGACCGGCAGGGGGATGGGAGTGGCCGCGAGCAGCGAGGCAGGGGAGCTTGACTGCAGGAGCGGCAGCAGCCCCCAGTCCCGGCCGCGGGCCGAGCGGCGCAGATACTGCAGGCTCCGGCAGTAACTGGCTGCAGCCCGGCAGCAGTTCTGCAGCCTCCCGGCCACTCGGCTGGTCACATTGGCGGCCACGTTGTGACTCAGCTCAAAGGGGTCCTGAAGATTCATGGGGCCCAGACGCAGACCCTCCCAGAATATGGCAGGCTGTCCCCCGGCCACAGGCAGCGCGCGGCCCTCCCGTAGGGACAGCAGAGAGCCACGGAGATCCCAGCAGGAGACACAGAAGAAGAACTGGGCCAGCAGGGCGCCTGGGGGAGGAAGCAGGGTGCGGATGGGGGGGTCACTGGGGGCCTCTTCGACCCCCTCAGAGGCTCCTCCCGGCCCCTCCCCTTACTCCCTGCTCCAGCAGGAAGCAGGAACCAGGGCGCAGCGCCGTGCTGAGCTTGGGAGCTCCCGGCCAGAGTACCCAGTGCCACATCTCCCTCTCCATCCGCACCCCGCCCACTCACCCGGGGGCTCCACGTTGGCGCTGGGTTCCAGGCTCCGGGCGTCCCTGGGGAAACTGCAGTCCCAGCCGTCCACTTCCACCCGCTCGCCCTCATCTGTAAGAGCAGAGGAGGGGTGAGCTTGGAGGGAGGGGAGAAGCGAGGTGCGAGCACAGACGGCACCCCAGGGGGGCTGGCTTGCCCAAGTACCTGCTTTCCGGGTGAGCTGGGCCACCGTGGGCAACACAGGTGGGTCCCGGGTCTGCAGGAAGTAGACCACGAGCAGGGTCAGAGCGTAGTTGCTGAGGAGGGGGCCGCTCCCTGGGTAAGCAACCAACAATCCCTTTAGCCAGCTCCCACTCCACCGCCACTTCGCCCGGCCCGAACCCAGAGCCCTCTCCATGATGCCAGCTCCGGCCAAGTCTGTCCTGATCTGCTCTCACCTGCCAGCCCTCGGCCCTGTGCCCAGCAGCGGACGGTGTACACGAGGGGCCGGACTCGCCCATCCAGCTCAGCGCACAGGCTCAGGAATTGGGAGTTGTGCAGGGCCAGCCTGGGGCAGAGGAAAGACGGGAACCACTCAGTCACCTGCTGCATCCAGAATTAGAGAAGACAAGAGCCCGATGTTGCTACAGCCTGGCGGGGGGGGGTGGGGGTTGTTGGTTTTTTTGGTATCCGGGATCAAACTGGGATCCTTGAGCTTGCACAGCCGGTGACGAAACCACTGAGCTAAATCCCCCGCCCTTGGAGCCTTTGATATGCAACGGAACAAAGCCTGAAAGGGCAGGGAAAAGGGAGAACACTGCATTTCATCTAGTATTTCCCAATCTGACGTGGCCACAGAACTCTGCACACTCCTCACAACAATCCAAGGCACACGCTTTCCACACAGCAAAGCTACACAGATGAGACACGAGCGCCAGAAGGGCCTGGGACCAGCCCAGCAGAACCTGACAGCCTCCCAGACCCGGAATCCTCCAACCTCACCCACCAAGGTACCGGTTACCGAGGGAGACGTCACCATGAAGCCCCGAGGGCCGATGGCAGAACTTCACCACAGGGCGCCGGGCCGATGGCACGCTGTGGACACGGTAGACGCCAGGGACACAGCGCCGCAGGATGGAGCCCACCAGCTCCAGCATGGCCGCTCCCGCTGGCTTCTCCCCACCCAGGGCCTCTGCTGCATCCGGGGCCTTCCCGGGGTCCCCCTCGCCCCTGTCCTCCTGCAGCGGCGAGGCTGGAGGCAGGGACTGGGGAGAGGCCAGGATCTCAGAGGCCAGAGCAGAGTCTGGCGTCTGGGGTGCTAGGGAGGACAGGGCCTCAAAGTCCAGCGCCTCAGAGTCTTGGGGAGACGTTGGGGGCTGCGAGTCCGCAGGGGAGGCTGGGGTGCAGGCCTGAGGATCCAAGGGGGAGGCAAGGGCAGAGTCCAAGGACGGAGACTCCGGAGCCTTCGGGACCTGCTGTGGATGGGAATGAGCCACATGAGTCCCCTTCCACTGTCCCAAACGGGGACACCTATGTCCCCAAGACAGTATCTGTTACTGCCAGGCCCTGTTCTATGAGCTTTCCATACAGTAACTCCTTCAACCTTCACAGTAACCCTTTCTTTTAATTTTATTTAATCCCATTTCTCCCCTATGTACAGAAGCTTTGTTTCCATTTTTCCTTCTGTCTTCACCTTTTTCTTGTCCCTTCCTCTCTCCCTCCTCCTCCCCTGTTCCCCTTCCCATTTAATTTTGTTTTGTTTTTTGGTACCAGAGATCGAACTCGGGTCCTTGTGCTTGCACAGCAAGTGGCGAAACCGCTGAGCCAAATCCTTGGCCCTCTCCTTCCCATTTGAACACTTTCTTCCCGTTTCCCAACATCCGTTATACACCTCAGTCCTTATTTCCTCTTTTGGTTTCTCACACTGGAGAAACAATGCGGTATTTAAACATGCGTGTCTGATTTAGTTCACTTAAGAGCATGGTCTCAAGGTCCATCCTTTCAGTTATAAATGCCTGAAGCTCATCCTTCTTTATGGCAGAAATCTTTTCTTTTCTTTCTTTCTTTTTTTTTTGTTACTGGGGATCAAACTCAGGACCTAGCATTTGAGAGGCGGGTGGGGCACCGCTGAGCTACATCGCTTGCCCCAAAACCACATCTTCTTTATCCACTTGACAGTTGATGGGCACTTGGGCTGTTTCCAAGATTTAGCTATTACATACTGTGCTGCTAGAAACATGGGTGTGCATCTATTGCTCACAGCAACCCTTTCTTAAAATTAAAATAATCTTTTAACTCCATAAAATAAATGTGCCAGCAAAGCATGGTGGCACTCGCCTGTGATCTCAGGGGTCAGGGTACTGAGGCAGGAGGATCAGGAGTTCAAGGGCTTGGACTGTATGAGACCCTATCTCAAAAAACAAAATACTTTTCCAATGATGAATGTCATTATATTGTATACCTAAAATGTACCAATAAAATAAAATGTAAACAAAATACTCCAGGGCCGGGGATTTAGTTCAGTGGTGCTACCGCCTGCCTTGAAAGTGCAAGGTCCTGAGTTCCATCTCCGGTACCAAAAAAAAAACCAATACTCCAGTACTCTGCCATTAACCTGAGAGACAAAACCAGAGGAATAGTTCCAGAACAAAGACTGAAAAGGTGAGCCAAGGTACACTGTCATGACTGCCGACCATGAACATATGCTGCAGGTTAAGAAAGTCTGGGCTCCCCCAGCTCTGGTGCGGCACTTCCCCCACTTGCTAACCGCACCAGGGATGCGCAATGGAGCCCTTCTGTTTCTATGTCATGTGCCTTACAGTATCAAGGGCAGAGAAGCACGTGGACGTAGCCCCTCTTAAATGATTCTGAAAACATAAATAATAGCATGTGTAGAGAAAGAGAAAGTGATCAATGTTTTTACAGACCATTCGCCTTGCAAGGCTGGCAGCTAGCTCAGGGCAGAGCACTTGCCTAAGACGCACTGAACCCTCCTTTGATCCCCAGCACTGCAAAGAAAACAGTGAAACCTCTTTTGTGGGGGCTGGAGGTCTGTGGGAACTCTACTTACTGTCCACCCAACTCTGCTACATACCCGAAACAGCTCTGAAAACCAAAATCTTTAAAAATAATACTAATCCTTTCCCATTCCAAAAGCAGACTCTGTATATTAGATGTTAAAATATATATAAACACCTGGGCCTGGTAGCCTGTAATCCCACAGGCTGGGAGGCTGAGGGAGGGGCACTGCAAGTTCGAGCCCATCATGAGCAACATTTGGCCAGTGAGTGAGACTGTCTCCCAACATAAAAAGGGGGTGCGGGACTGGGACTATAGTTCTGTGCAGACCCTGGCTTCAATCTCCAGTACCACAAAAGAAAGAAAAGACAGATAAGCAAAGAAATAATCCCAAATTACCTTAATGATATATCTTTTATTTTTTTCTGGCTTATATTGTTCTTATTATTTAACACTATGATATCACATTTCTGATCCACTGCCTGGTATTGAGAATCAGTAATTAATAACCAATACAATTCCACCAAATCTATGTACATACATCCTTTTACAGTATTTTTTCACAATGCATACCCCATTAAGAAATCTGCTCTTTTTTTCTGTCAGCCTATCACCTACCTGTCTCACGTCAGTGCACTGGTACCCTGACACCCACCTCCCTCAATTTCTTCAGGACTTTGACCTTTGAAGGCGAGGTCCACATCCCTGAGGTGGAACCGAGGCACACAGAGGTCACCCACACGGCCAGCTGCCTCCACTTGCTCACCTGAGGCTCATCCAGCTCTCCCAGATCCAGGAAGAGGTCAAGATCACACCCATGGACATCAAAGCTATTTGTGGAAGAGCCAAAAGGGTGGACTGCACAGCCTAGGGGCCGGGAGAGCAAAAGTCAGGGCCAGTAGGAAGGGCACTGGACATAAGTGAAGGGTAGGCAGGCCGGCCAGCAGGCACTCACCAGGGAAGAATTCTGTGAAGACTTCCTGCATCAGGGCCACCACCAGGCACCGCAGCTGCCGCTCCGCCTCGGACAGTTCCCGCAGCGCCACCAGCTTCATCATCTGTGTGCCCACGTCTGGGGCCTCGGCCAGTGCACTGAGCAGCTGGCCACTGTCCTCGGGGGCAGCACCCCGGAGGGCCCTGGAGCCTGGGCTCTGGAACGCCTTCTGCTCCCGAGGCCGCACGCGCAGACGCTGTCCTCGTAGGCTGTGCTGGGGCTGGGCCAGGGCAGCATCCCGGGAGCCCATGTCCCCCATCTCCACGATGGCAAACACGCCCTGCAAACCCACAGAGCCCGTGAGGGTTCTGAAGCCAAGAATTTCCACCTTCTTACTGATGAGTTTCCCCAAGGTGATGCCGTGGAGATTAAATGAGAGAATGTGTATAAAATTCTCAGTGAACAATTGGTGGACAGTAGTGTTAATAAACACTTTAGCCAGGCAAGGTGGCACAGGCCTGCAGTCCCAGCACCCCAGAGGCTGAGACAGGAGGACTGTAAATTCAAGGCCAGCCTGAATTACGTAGCAACTTCAAGGTCAGCCTCAACTACATAGTTAGATTCTGGCTCAAAAAAACCAAGAGGAGGGCCAGGGATTTAGCTCAGCGGCATAGCACCTGCCTAGCAAGTGCAAGGTCCTGAGTTCGATCCCCAGTACCAGGAAAAAAACAAAAAGAACCAAGAGGAATAAAAGACAACAAAGAATCGTTCTTTCCAAAAGTAGTAAATACGGGCCAGGGATTTATCTCAGTGGTGCCGCAGCCTGTCCCAAAAGCACAAGGACCCCAGTTTGATCCCTGGTACCAAAAAAAAACCAAAAACCAAAAGAAGTAAATATAAGCCAAAATGGGGACACTGGGCTTTCTGAAGAAGCTGGGGTAAACGGTCCCAACTGCCCACCCACTACATATTCTTTCTTCCTTACAAAGAGAACCCCAATTTTGTTTAGAGAGGCAAAGTACCCAACTGAAAAAACTTAATTTCCCAGGCTTGCCTACAGTGGGGGATCACCATGTGGTAGAATTCTGGCCAATGAGATAGAAGTCAAAGTCTGCTGAAGAAGCCTCCGGAAAGTGTCTTCCTCAGAAATAAAGAAGTTGAGGGAGTCAGACTCAGAGGCCTTTTACATACTCTCTTTCAATTTGCCCTGGCGTTGTGGAAATGGGAGCACCACGAATATTAATGAGGGCTATGTGCTAAGGATGACAGAGGGGGAAAACAGCTGGTCCCTGGGCTACCTGGGTTGGGCTTGTTAGATGGAAAAAATACTGAACTTTTATTCCAAACTGTAGTTCAGTTGCTCGACAAAAGCCCTAACATTTCTTTAGGGTGAGAAACCAAAAGTGTAAATAAGGACTAAAAGGTATGATAACGTGAAATAGGAAGAAAAGGGGCAAAAGGGAAGGGGAAGTGGGAGGGGTGGGGGAAAGGAAAGAAGGGAATGGAATTAATATGAGAAAATGGAAAACTGGAAACAAAGTCTTTGTTAATAGGGAGGGATGGAGGTGTTGAAGGGAGGGCAGGGGAAGGGGGAAAAATAAGAACCAAGAGAGATTACGTAAAGGTGCAAATTTCCAATGATGAATGTCATTATATTGTATACCTAAAATGTACCAATAAAATTAACTTAAAAAAAGCCCTAACAAAGTCAGACCCTACTCATTCTAAAACAAACTCTGGTCTTCTGAGAACACTGACTCTTCCCCTGCAATGCTGGGAGTGGAACCCAGAGGCTGCACACGCCAGGCCAGTGCTCACCACCAAGCTGCATCTCCTAGCCATGTCTGGCACCTCTAAGCCATACCTGAATCCTCGTGCAGACTCAGAACCACAGGATGATCCAACAGTACAGCACCACACAAATGAACTTGTCTCAAGGGACTAAAGGGACAGTTTAAAAAGTTCTACATGAAAGCAAGCAAGATAAAAGAACTACCAAGGGGTGGGAGATTTAGCTCAGTGGTTCCACTGCCTGCCTTGCAAGTGCAAGGACCTGAGTTCAATCCCCAGTACCAAAAAAACCTGAAAACTACCAAGAATGAGCTTGTTTTCCTGTCAGAGTGTTCTAACCAATAACCTCCAGTAGTTCTTGGTATAGTTAATAAACTGCCAACCACTTTATCAAGCAGTTTCTTGGGGAGTGATCTTCCAGTGGTGTGTTGCTATTTGGGTTTTGGTTTTTTAAGACAGGGTCTCAAGATGTAGTTCAGGCTGGCCCTGAATTCACTATGTAGCCCAGGCTGGCCTCACACTTGCAACAATCCTCCTGCCTCAGCTTCCCAAGTGCTAGGATTACAGGTGTGTGCCACCGTGCCCGGTGGTATGTTCTTTAAGCTCCAACTTCCACTAAAATTATTCACATTAACTGTCCACATTAACTTCTCCTGTGGTCTGTTTTTTTTGTTTGGGATTTTTTGAGACCAGGTCTCCCTATGTACCCTATGCTGGCCTCAAATCACTATGTAGCCCAGGCTGGCCTTGAACTCATGGATGATCTTCCTGCCTCAGCCTCCCAAGTACTGAGATCACACCACCACCACCCCCAGTTCCTCCTGTAGACTGTAAACGCCATGCAAGCAAGGATCCGTCTACTCCCTCACTACTTAGGATACAGCCCTAATATTTAATACAAAGGTAGCAAGGAATAAACATTTGCCCTGCAAATAAAAGACAGTGAATAGGGCCGGGGATTTAGCTCAGTGCTTCCTGCGCCTGCCTCGCAAATGCAAGGTCCCAAGTTCGATCCCTGGTACAAAAAAAAAAAAGACAGTGAATAAATAAATGACCAGTCTCTCAGGATTACCTCTGAGGTTGGATAAAACCCAGCAGGGTGGAAGTGATGTTAGCTTATGGAGCTGGGTTATCCTGAGTGCTGCGGTCTCCTCCAGGCCAGGCCACACTCAGAGCCAGGTAGAACAAGCTGCTGCTTGCTCCCTCTTGTCCTGACTCACTCCTTACCCCTGAGCCATCCACTCTACCTTGTCCTTGTCCATGACCACGCTGGCCACAGGTCCAAATGCCTGGAAGTATTCAGAGAGCTCTGTAGAATCTACATCCCTGGGGAAACCACTGACAAACACACTCCGAAGGCCCTGGGCCTTTCTGGCAGCTCGAAGTTCTACCAGATGCCGGTGCTTCCGGCCTCCCAAATGGGCATCTAGGCTGGGTCCTGCAGAGACAAGAGACAAAAACATCTAGGTCACTCTTCAGTGTACCCTGCCACTATGTGCATAAATTCTCCTGATCCTCCAAGCCACAAAAGTGTGGCCTTTGAAGCACTCAGAGGCTGAGGCAGAAATTCAAGGCCACCCTGGGCTACATGAGTTCAAGACTAGCCTGAACTACATAGCAAGATCCTGTCTCAAAAAACAAAACAAAAAAAGTGTGACCTTTGAATAAACAAAGTCCTGCTTCCTCTGTTCTTGACATTCTCGTGGATTTCTACAGAACACGTGCTCTAGGTCATTTGCAGAATAGCACACTCTAAGCAGTTCTTTTCTTTCTTTTTAAAATTATTTTTATCTGAGGGCCGAGGATTTAGCTCAGTGGTTTCATCGCCTGCTGCACAAGCACAAGGACCTGAGTTTAATCCCCCATATAAAAAAAAAAAATTTTATTTTTATTTGAGACAGGGTCTACTTAAATTTTTAAGGTGCCCAGAGTGGGCTTGAATTTTTAATCCTCCTGCCTCAGCCTCCACTGTGCTGGCGTTATGGGCATGTGCTGTGACTGCTGGCTCCATATGCACACTAGGGATTGAACCCAGGGGCACTCTACCACTGAGCTACATCTCCATCCCTTATTTTGTATTCTGATGGAGAAAATTGTCTGGGCTGACCTCAAATTTGTGATCCTCCTGCATCAGCCACCCGAACACTGGGATTACAAGTTTGCACCAGGGCACCCACCCAGCTCAAGTCATCCTTAAATCATCAATCTGCATTACATTGCTAGGCATGGTGGCACACACCTCAAATCCCAGCTACTTGGAGCCTGAAGCAGGATTAAAACTTTGAATTCAACATTAGAAACTTAGATTGTCTCAATATAAAATTTTTAGAAAGGTCTGGGGATACAGCTCTGTGGTAGAGTATGTACAAGGCCCTGAGTTCAATCCCCAGTACCAAAACAAGGGGAAAAAAAGTAGACATATGTATCTGCTAGGCAGAGCAACACCTGAGATTGTCAAGAAATCAACAGGTAACTTATCTAGGTTATACAGAGATCTCGGGACCTGGATAATTCTCACTGACCAACTGCGGGTATAATATAGTGACTGCAAGCATGGGGTCTAAAGCTGTTCTAAGTTCAAACCCAGCTCTGTGAATCTCTGTGAGACCTTGGGCAAGCTGCTTAACCTCTCTGTGCATCCGTCTCTCCAGACTTCAACGTAGGTAACAATACCTTCCACAGAATCAATAAACATTTAGATGAACTGACAGAGTCGGTAGGTGGTAAACGAGGACAATCTCACTGCTAGTATTATCTGTATTACCAGTCAGCTGCCTGGTGTCACCAAAGTATTTGTGGAGCCAAAAAGACTTTTGATATCCAGCTTGCCCTACTGAATAAGGATGGTGCCATTCACGAGGAAAGGCTAGAATGGAAGACCCCGTTTAGAGACAATTGGGATTCCGGCTTCAGAAGTGAAATGTGAGGTTGCGTGGAGCCCCTTGAGCTTCCATATGAGGACCAAGTCCACTTCCCAAACCCATTCTCTGCCTGCTCCCTGCCACACTGGCTCACCCATCCCGGCCTCCGCGGGATGCTGCGGGACTGCTGACTCGGCCTTCTGTGCGGTGCCACAGCTGCCTCCTTCTAGACGAGGGCAACCGCATCCCCGAACCACCCCCGCCCCCGGGCCGGCAACGCACCAGGCCCGGAACAGGGGCCCACAGGAGGGCTAAGCGGAAATGAATCACGGAGCTTTCGTGGTGGATATTCTGCACAGAGGGGAGGGGAGGGTGCAGGTGGCCGGACGTCCCCATTCTGCCGTCCCCATTCTGCCGTCCCCTCCGACGTGCGGTGAGAACGAAGGTGCGCGGCCCCGTCGGGACTTAACAGGAACTACGCTCCACAAGCACCAGACGAACGCCCCCAACCACCCCTCACTAGCCACCGCTTACGGTTGGCTGTCGTAACGTGGCAGAGGCAGCAGCGGAAACCCCCACGCGGCAGCGATTCGACATCCGAATCCACCGCCGCCATGGCGACCCTCGGGCAAACAGCAAAGGGAAACTCTCCTGCCTCCGCCGGAATTCTCTTGTGAAGACCGCGATGCTCTCGGAAGCGACTTCCGCCAGACCTACAGGAAGTGACGAAGTCCGCCAATCAAGAGCAGACACCCCGCCCTCGGAAATAGCTCCCTCAACTCAGGGTTAAGCGTCCGGCCTAAAACGCTTCTCTGCGTGTGGTGCCCTTCTTGGAGGGCTCCGCGCTTTTCTCCAGCGTTGATTGGCCCAAAGCGTCGTGAATATTCATGAGGCAGCTACAGAGGCGCGCCGGGGTGGGGCTCTAGCCAGCTCCGTGACAGCCGGGCGGAGACCTTTGCTGAAACGCCTGGCCCCGGGAGCCTGGACGATCGCTGCCTCTGCGAGCCGCACCGTGACCGCCGGCTGAGCCCGGGAGACCCCGGGATACAAAACGCAGCGGGATGGAGGGCGTGGGGCTGAGAGCCGCGCACCCAAGCAGCAGCCTTGGCTTGTAGCCGAGAGCGCCCGACCGGTGCAGCCGCAGGGGCCCGCAGAGCGAGGCTGGCTGGGCTTGGGCTTCTCCCCAGGGCGCCCCCTCGGGCCTGCGTGGGCGTCCACAGGCAGGAGAGGACTGCAGGACCTGGGCCACACGCCCTGCCGCACTGCCAGGATCCTGGGTCCCAGGGAGGCCAGCAGCCATCCCGACAGCCAGCTCTTCCCACTGCCTTAAGTCCCTCCGGGCCCAGGGCCCAGACTACGCTTGGGCTCCAGCATCCCTGGGAGCTGGGGGCAGCGTGAGTCTCAGGCCAGGGGGCCCGGCAGTGGCGCACGTCTGGAATCCACCACTGTGGGATTCGGAGGCAGGAGGACGAGTTCGAGCCCAGCCAGGGCAACTTAGTAGACCGTATCTCCAAAAAGCCCTGGGTTCAATCCCCAGTACCAAGCAAGGCAGGGAGCAGGCCACCTCACCCAGCCCCAGTGTCTCATGAACCTGCTCCCCGTGTGTACCTTTCTTTCCCGTCATTTATGCTCCCTCTCAAAAACACCCCCAACACACTCCACACCCACTCGTGGCAGAGAACAGCTGAGCCAGGAAGAGCTGAAGAAAACAGCTTTTTATTCGTTACTATAAGAACCAATTACAGAATCCGAGGTTAAAAAAAACAGACAAAAGATCTTTATTTCTGAGAACTGGCATACAAAAGGCGGAGGGGGAAGGGGAGAGAGGAAAGAGCTAGCACGGGCTGGGGCTGGTGCCAGCTCAGGGGCCTCAAATACCAATCAGCAAAGTCCGGACACCGGACAGGAAGAGAAACCCCCCAATTAGGAAAAAAACCAAGAAAGACATGGCAGTGCACGCCCCCCACCCCCAGGTGCTACTACCTGAGAGCTGTCACTCTTCCCCTCCCGTCCCCTTTCACAAAGGGAGGCAATACTTTTTACAAAATTAAAAAACCTTCCCCCTGAAACTGTCCAAGACAAGTGTGGAAAGGACCAAGTTAGGAACCCTGCAGGACAGGCCAGGGGCGTCTGAGCCCCATGGGCACTGCCCCTCCCATCCCTCTGAAGCCCCAGCTCACCCCCTGCCAGGCTGCCTCCCTGGCCCTCACTGCTTAGTCCTCCAAGACAATGGGCTCATTGGTGCTGGATGCATGTGAGGGTGCAGGCAGAGGGACTGGGGGCCGCACAGCCATCAGTGCTGGTTTCACCTTCAGAGGAAGGTTGGGCCTCCGGGCAGCCCGCCGCATCTCCAAGTGGGTTAGAGCCTTCCGTAAGGCCCTGCACAGAAAACAGGACAAGTAGAAGAGGGCAAAGAACCCCCAAGATTCCCAAGGCAGCCTGACATACTCTGTGCTGCAGCTTATCTCCAGCGCACCTTTCCCAGAACCCCATTCCGATCCGCACTGGCACCAGTGCTCCCCGCCCACTGATGCCCTACCTGGTATCCTTTGTGGCCACAAACACCACGGGATTGGGGGCATCTGCTGGGTTTAGTTTCTGACGTTTGGCTGCTGGCTGCGAGCCTGAGCGGATCCCTGAGGCCAGAGGCCTTCCGTTGGCAGAGAAAGGGACCCCTGCCCCTGCCATCTGGAAAAGGACAGGGTAATTCAACGAAGGATGACCTGGGACTCTTAGCAGAAGCAAAAGGCCACCCAGCCAGGCCAGGCCTCCTCCATCAGCCAACTCACCGTCTCATAGGCTCTCTTTACCATGATGCCCCCCAGGCCCCGGTTCTGGGTCAGCTGGTTTCTGTTGATTGGGGTCTTGGTGCCCCGAGGTGTTTTTGGTTTCAGAGGTGCCTGAGCCACTGTCAGGAAAAAAACAAAACAATTTTCCCACCTCTTTTCTGCAGTTCCCCTTTCTTGCCTCCATCTCTTTTCCCTCAGCCAGCTGTTTTACCTGGGCACAATCAAATGTATGGGGAAAGGGTCTGGAAGCAATTACTGTGTTCACAATCACACATGTGTGACAACACACAGCCAGGCAACAGCCCCAGAAAACATTATTGGGCTGAAGATGTAGCTCAGTGGTAGAGTGCTTGTCTAGAACGTGTAAGGCCCTGGGGTCAAACTCCAGTGTCACCAAAAACCAAACAAAAAGCAGCTGGGCGTGGTTGCCCACACCTGTAATCCCAGCACTCCAGAGGCTGAGTCAGGATTGCTATGCATTCAAGGTCAGCCCAAACTACAAAGCGAGAAAGAAAAAGAAAGCAACCACCACAACCACCATAGGAGCAGTTTTTCAGACTAAATTAAATGTCTTTGGACTCAGGAAAAGGGAAAGTTCTTGAGAGAAACAGAACCAGGAGCAGACACACCCAAACCGCTGCCCGTTCAGTACCCAGATCCTTGACGATTGTTGCCAGGGGTAGCCGAACCAGAGGGTGAATCTTCAGCGGTGTCTTGGCAGCCTTTGGAAGGCGGATGGAGCCTGGAGAAAAGGAAGCATGCTTCTGAGCGGCTGCAGCACCCAGGCTTAAGGGCCAGGTGGCATCTAATTTCCCACAGCTCCTACTGCTCCTGGCCCCTCCGAGTCCTTACACTCTGCCTTGATGGCATTGGCATTGATGGGGGCGTAGGGCCTCCGGGCAGCCCTCCTTGGCTGCAGCAGGTCCCTGCACATCCGCCGGGCAAGCCGGGTTAGCTTTGTGGTCTGAAGCAGGAATGTCTGCCTGTTCTTGGCCAGCAGCTTGGCCCGGTTGGCGCTGGTTGTGTAAGGGGAGAGACTTTGGGCTTCAGGTCTGGACAGGTGACCCCTTGAGTGTGGCTCCTGGAGGACAGGCACAGAGAACAGGTCCTGCAGCGGCACTGAGGGGCCCTTCTTTCTCCCACTCCCTGCAGGGGACAACTTGTTTCTGCCTGACTTTACTGACCACCCCCACCCCACCCAGGCGCTCTGCTCTGCCAGGCGCTCACATCAGCCTGCTTATGCTGCCCACCCCTGCTCACACCGCTCCTTACCGTGGAGCCCCGAGCAGCCCCCTCAAGCTGGGTTGGGGTCTTCAGCCCCCCATACTTCTTCCAGTAGATCCAACAGGAAGCACAGAGACGGCACTGCATGTTGGGTGGGCCCCAGGCGTACCACTGGGCAGACTGCGTGGCTATAAGACAGGGTGTCTGTTGGCGAGAAACCCACTCCTGGAGGCCCTGCACCCCGGCCCTGTCCTGCCCTGGGACTCACTGTGGCAGCTCTCACAAGTCAGACCCTTCTGGAACCCAGCTCCGTTCATCCCAGGTTTTGAACCCACAGAAATGATCTGGTTAGGGTTTGGCTTAGTGCTAATAAAGAAAGCACAGGGAGAAACCAAGAAACCAGTCAAGAAAAAGAACTCTTTTTTCTGCTTTGAGACAGGGTCTCAAAGGCTGGCCTCGAATTCACAGCCATCATCCTGCCTCAACCTCCTGAGTGTTGGGACTACAGGCACGTACCAGCACGCCTGGCTTGGGAAAAGAACGAACTTCTCATTTCCCCTCCCAGTGCTGAGCCCCGAGCCAGGGGCCTCACACACGCTAAGCCTGCACATGCCACTGAGCCAACACCCCAGCGCCCACCTCCATCACTGCATTCTGCTCCCTGACACCCTGAATCACGGAGGAAGGCAGAGGTCGGGGGAAGAAAAGGAAGACGAGCCAGTCCCCCCTGTCCAGACTCACTAGGTGGGAATGTAGACCTGCTTCAGTTTGCTGTCTGCTTCAGCAGCCTTCAATCTCTTCTGCAGAAAGGAAGGGCAAAGCTCACTGTCTCTGCAGAGCAGATGACACAGGCAGCCCCGGTGCAGCCTCCCAGCCCGACAAACCTGCTGAATGTACCGGTCTGTGGTCTTCCACATGTAGTAGAACTGAACTATGCTTGCAAGTGACTTCCAGGGCAGCTGAGTAGGACAGACAGCAGAAGAGTGAGGTGGCACTTGGCCCCGGGTCCCTTGATTGCTGTCTCTGCTGCCTCCCCTCTAGGCCCATCCACTTACAAAGTCCTGGCGGATGTCATTGAAATCTTTTCCGTACTTCTCCAGAGCCTCCTCGAACAACATGGCCTCGGAGGCAGACCACTCCTCCATCTCGTCTCGGCACAGCACCGGGCCCCCCTGGGGCACCAAAGTGGACATGGCTTTGGCTAGGTCATAGCCATTTCTCTGCAGCGTGTCCATGGCATGAAACTAGAGGAGAGGAAGGAGGCGGCTAAGAACCCGGGGCCAGGCACCACTAGCCTGCTGCCCTTTGAACACTCCTACACCCTCAGAAACACGGCTCTCTCCCCCCGTGTCAGGCACTGAAGACCCCACAGCATCCCCAGCTCAGCTCTCCCAGGGGCTGCTCACCAGGGTGATATCTCGGGAGGCGGCAGCCGCACTCATGTGCAGGCTGGGCTGTCGGATGGAGCTGCTGCAGTCCAGGGCTCTCGCAAAGGTCCCCACAGCTCTGCAAGCAAGATCAGGAAGTCAGAAAAGGAAAAGCAGGCAAGAGCAGGCTGAGATTAACCCCAAAGGAAAAGAGCGCCAGGACGCGCAGGACTCAGAGCCACGTCCACAGCTGCCCGGCCTTCTTCCCATCCACCCACCCTCACCGGGCCACCACAAGGAACTGGTCAATCTGCCGGTCCGTGAGGGGGTTGTCTGGATCCCAGACCTTCATCTCCATCTTCTGCTGATTCCGATTGTCCAGTTCTCCTGGGGAAGGGAAACAGCATCACCAGGAAGAGGGAAGGAAAGGTAAGTGGTATCCCGTCCTCACGCTTTCATTCTATCAATCAGCCACTGCACCTCTCAACATCTTCCCAACCATCCCATCTGCCCCTGACAGGCTCCCAAGGTCCCAGCCCAGCAGGGGAACGGCACAGAACCACGCAGACTTCCATGTAGGACTGGGCCTGCCGGCTACAGCGACCGACCATGCTGTGAGACCACCCTGGGCATTTGCTAGTCCACCAGCCATACAACCTGTCCTGTTGTTTACCCTCTGCCAGGCGATCGGGGATCTCAGCTTGGTATTTGCAACCAACTCTAATCTCCCCTTGGTCAGCCAGCAACGTCTTCTGCACTGGGTCAAACACCAACGAGTAAAAAAAGCAGTCCTGGAGGGGGAAGAGAGGAGGTGACAATGCCGTACCCCCATGGTGTGTAGTCACTGGGGTACATTCACGGCTCCCAAGGTGGGTGGGCATCTAACAACACGACTTCCTTGCTGCCCTGCTGTCCTCTCCCAGCACCTCCTCACCTCCTTTTCCAGGTACTGGCTCAAGATATCTGTCTCATTCAGAAGGGTCACGCTGCATTTCCCTCTGCAAGAGACGGGGAGGAAACCAGGTGAGCCCTCCTCCCCCACTGCCTCCCAGTGCACCGCCATCCACCCGGTATGCTGGGCCAAGGGGTCCCCTACCGTATGTGGGTGGCCGGTAACGACTCAAACTGCCGGGACAGGAAGAGCTCCCGGTGCTTCAGCTGATGCCTCTGCTGCTCCGACACCCCTGGCTGCTTTGACTCCTCCTCGAACTCCCCTAGGACAAAGAGGAAGAGACCAAGTCAGAAGCTAATTGGGAAAGAAAGGCAGCTTGTGGCAGGCAGTGATGTCACACGCCTATAATCCCAGCACTCCAGAGGCTGAGGGAAGAGGATCGCCATGAATTTGAGGCCAGCCTGAACTACATAGCAAGACCCTGCCCTAAAGGGGCTGGGGATTTAGCTCAGTGGTTCTGCTGCCTGCCTGAAAGCGCAAGGTCCTGAGTTCGATCCCAGTACCAAAAACAAAACACAAACAAGACCCTGCCTTAAAACAAAACAAAGGGCCGAGGATTTAGCTCAGTGGTTTTGACGCCTGCTTCTCAAGCATAAGGTCCCGAGTTCCATCCCCAGTACCAAAAAAACGAAACAACAACAACAAAAAAAGTACTTGGACACTAACCCAGGGAAAATGCTTTCTCTCCTGTTCTTTTCAGTACTAGGAATTGAACCCAGGACCTCAGCACTGAGCTACAGGCCCAGCCCTTTTTACATTTCGAGACAGGGTCTCCCTGCTTGCTAAACTGCCTGGGCTGAGCTGGAACTTGCCATCCTCCTGCCTCAGCCTCCCAGAGTGCTGGGATCCCAAGTGAGCACCACCACACCTGGCCAGTTTCTCACTTGGGTCAGGCATCTTACCCTTGCTTCAGCAGCCTCCCCTCTTAACTCAGTCACAAATGCTCTTGGGGAAGAACTGTCAGAGTACAAAGAGCACCACAGAAATGCATCCCAGACCCAGCTGCACAGATACCACCATGGCGGGCCCAGGAGCTTCTGCATACTTGACTCTTTCTTGCTGAACCAGCCCGAGGTCTGGGAAACCAGTAAGATGAAAGATCACACAAGACTGTAGGAGTTCTTTTTGGGCTTCATAAAACTCTTTCCTCTAAACCATCATATATAACCCTAACTAGCCCTCCCTTTCTACTTGGCTAATAATAGCTCCTGGGACTTTCAAGGACAGTACCTCTAAGCCAGTGCCAACACCTTCCTGCCCAAGAGCTGCTTGGCCCTGCAATCCTGGAGCAAAGGGTTAATCTGGCTGAGTGCCAACCCCAGCGGGGCGGGGGGGCAGAAGAGCCCAGGCTCATTGGTCCATCGTTCCAACCTCAGGGAGCAAGGAGGGGGTGAGTCAGCTCCACCCAAGCCTGTGTGCTCCGAAAAAGGGTGCTAAACCAGGGGGACCACACCCCCACACTCCTCTGATTGGACAAGGCTAAGGTCATCCCCTGCCGTATGGGGCTGGAAACCCCAAAGGGCCAGGGATCTAGCTTGATAAAGCCAGTTCATTAACCCCTTCTGAACCAAACCAGCCTGAAAACAATTTTTGAAGGAAGAAGGAGAAAGAAAACCCAAACAAGAAAGGATTAAAAAAAAAAAAACTTAAGGAAACTAAAGGGAAATTTTTAAAAACGATTAGAATGTAAAAAGAATGACAATAAAAAGAGATAACAATGTAAAATGCAGTGGAGAGAGAAATGGGAAAGGTGAATAAGAAAAAGAACAAAAAAACTTTCCTGCCATCTTTCAACTTACAGGGCTCTCTAAAATGTACTCCCTCCTCTTTTACAGAAGGATCTTGCTCCCCCACAGGGCAGTCTCTGCAGTACAATCTCTTCAGCTTGACCTTTTCACTGTCCCATTCCGTCAACCCCAAACTATCCACTCAAATGCCCTGCTTCTCTGAAGCTCTTCCTCACCCCCTACCTAAAGTCCCTCCCTAAACCCATTCTTTCCAGGTGAGCATGGTGGCACACGCCTGTAATCCCAGCACCCAGGAGGCTGAGGTAGGAGGATCACCACAGGTTCAAGGACAGTCTGGGGGTACACAGCAAACTCCCGTCTCAAAAAAAAAAAAAATAGGTAAACCCATTCTCTCTCTCTCTCTCTCACGCACCCCACAGAAACCATGGTCTGGCTCTCATTATCATCATCTGGCCACCCTGCTTCCAACTCCAACATGTGAAAACAGGCCTCCACCCCCAAACTCACAACCTGCCCTGGGCAGGGTACCAGGGCAATACCTGCAGGAACAAGCCTAGGCCCATGCGATGAGAAAAAGAACGGCAGAAAATACTCACTGGCATTGCTATCAGCCAGGCTGTTGAGGCTGCTAGAAATGTCCCTTCGCCGGAAAAGACAGACCACTTTTGCTTCCACGTTTCCATTTGCAGTCTAAGG